GATACAGAGCATGAAAATATCGATACCATCGAGAAAAACTATTACATTTTTAATATATGGAGGTCTCTTCTCTCCTCTGAGTCGTATTCTGGGCTGTTCTTCTAATACTGATTGAACGCTATATCTTTTTCCACTAATTATTTGTGAAAATATTTAGCTTCTAGTGTTCCGCTATTAAAAATTGTTTAACAGTTTTTTTCTAAAATAAATCCTCAATGGCTGCACAATTTTGCACCCCACTGCATCTAAAACGTGTGTGTTTATATATGCCAGCCAAGTGGATGATGATCAACAGCAGTAGCTGTAATAAAAATATTTGTATATTGAATTCTAATTGCAGTTTTATAGAAATGCAATAGAATATAGAAAAATTTATTGTTTTCAAGAAAATTGGAATTTTCGAAATACTTAAGAGCATCTTAGCAGGAATAACATTTCAAGTTCACATTTAGATGTTAGAAATTCAAAAAAAAAAAAAAAAGAATTTCCCTTCATATGTTTTATTTTCAAATTCAGAACAAATTACCACCTCCCTAACAGTCATCTAATGAATATGTGGCTTTGAATAAATAAACAATTTAAAACTAACAATTGATGGAAGCAAACAAAAAAATGTATTGAAAAGAAAAACAAAAATATTGAAAATTACATCGGATTCCAGCAAATTGCAAAATAGTTATGGTTACGCAGCAAAGTTTATTTATCTTCACGGGCGGACGGAAAGCCTTTCAATTTCAAATTAATAGAAAATTTCTAATTGATTTTCAATTCATTAAAATTCAATTGGAATCGGGGGGTTGCATGGTTGGGAAGGGGGCAGGGTGTATGGTGGAAATTGATCAAATGAACTCTGTGGCGCTGCTGGTGGTGGCAATTTGTGTTTGAGTGCGTTATCGATTGGATTATAATTTAGGCACGCACTGTCGTACAGTGCGGAATGAAGCGACAACTTGAACATCTCTTGGAGACTGTCTTTTCTTCTATCCACGAAGCCGTCGTCACACCACCATCTATCTGCTCATTATAGTCATCTTCCATAAATGCGGTTATGACTGCATGTATCCGAGGGTCATTTCTATGAGGGGGGAAACCATCCACGATTGGACCAAGTGTATTTGGAAATTTATACAACAATTTGAATTGCAACAACATTATTACAGTGCAACAGCAGATAATCACTTCTCAATAGGGTGTGTGTATGTGTACGTAGATGGAATACAAATTACATACCCATTACTTTGAAGTTTCTACAATGCGTTGGTCGTTACTCGGCTGCCTTTAAGAAGTTATGGCAGCTAAGCTGGAAGCAATTATCGCAAGTTAAGCGTGTTTTGATGTCATAATAATAATAACAACAACATGAGCAGCAAGAATAAGGGCCACACCCGATCACAAAATAAAAAAAAAAACTACACAAAACAGAAAAGCTGTAACACTGTATGACGTCTTATTCTCCAATAGATGATGATTTGATGAATTTTTTCCATTGTTTTTATAAGTTTATTTTTTTTTTTTCTATACATACAAATGTGTGTGTGTGTGTATGTATATGGGTATATTTACATATGGAACACTAGTTTACAGATTTTACGAGACTCAAAGTTTTTTTTGGAAAATATATATTGTTAATCGTTTGGCACCTTCAGCGACACATAGAACGAGAATAAAACTACTCAGAAACACTAATTACCAAATAATGGGTAAGTAATTACATGCTGACACATCGCATAATTGCGGAATTGTTTTGAAATTTTATTACACTTCATCTACTAATCGAAATGTAGATGGTGTTAGGCATGTCTACCACATCAAAATCATGGAAGTATAAGATGCGAATAAGTCAGAGTGAAAATATTATTCTTTGGTAATAGTTACCAATGTTGGGTGATTTTAATCGCCAAGTTAATGGTCCTGATAATCAGGTCTTTACCATTTTATGTCTCAGATTACATTTGCCAACCATTTTCAATTAAATGAGACCTGTTTTTATAAAAGATGGCACTGAATATATCTGAAACGTTAAGAACCCAACAATTACAAGGACCCAAATGAGCCGGATTTCTCATTACAAGGTAATGTAAGCAAACCAAAGCGGCGTTTGGTCATTACAAAGTAATAACCAAAAAGGGCAAAGAATGTACGTTTGGTAAGGGGATTTTTGACATGCAATACTTCGTGGATTGTGTTCCCTGGAAGTTTGTTCCCTTAGACATTTGTGAGGCAGTACCATATTTGTATTTCCCTTTTCCTCCGGATCAATCAATTGAAAAGTGTATATAAGAAGCTTCCCAGCGAACCAAATCGCGAACGTCCGACACGTCTGATCAAAGTCTCAATTTTTTTTTGCGAAGTGTCTGACCGACGCATGCCTAAAATCTGCCAATTTGTCGAAGGAATTTTTTCTCTTGTTGTTTGTTTTTCTCTTGTGTGTTAAAATTTTTTGGTCCGATACGACAACTCTAATTTCCTTTCGAATGTGAATTCGGTTAGAAATACGACTAAAACTTCAGATTTTCATCCGACGCTTCGGTCCGACTACACCTCAACTACTTCATATAACTTTCGGTCAGAAGTTGGACCGACTTCGCATCCGAAATGGGAAGTTTCTACCGATTTAGGTCGCACAACACGTCAACCACTTCATATAACTTTCGGTCAGAAGTCGAACCGAATTCGCATTCGAAATAGGAAGTTTCTTCTAACTTTCGATCAGAATTCGGACTGAATTCGCATCCGAAATTGGAAATTTCTTCGTTAATGGAATGTCATTTCGGTTCGAAGTTAATGGAATGTCATTAATGGAATTTTATTTCGGTTCGACCGCACTCGGACAGTTTGGTTCGCTGGGTTAATATGTAAAATGCGTAATTTATAGTTCCTTTCCAGTATATAATGGACATAACGACATTTCTATGAGTTTACAAAACAAACATTTTTCGCCTCCCCAAATAAAATCTGAAAGTCGTGTGTGCCTCCTGAAACTTGTAGGCGAGTGTTAGTTTTGCTCTCCTTTTCGTTCTTATTATTTTTATTTGTTGCGTATAAGTTTTATTGTTTTTTCTTCTTCTTCTTCTTCGTTTTTGATAATCAATTGAGAACGTGGCCGGCATTTGATGCTTGCACTGCTGCCATGACTATGCCGCCATTGTTGCGCATTGCATTGAAATTTGCAGTTGTTGTAATGCCGATGACAAGGAAATGTTGACAATGAAGATGACAGAGGCCCAGCCAGTAATGGACTGGACTCTGGCATATATTTATGTGGATGGTGGTCGCCTGTCGCTATTTCTTTTCTATTTCTTATTTTTTTTTTTTTTGCTTTGATTCTTTCGCGTTCTAGTAGCTATTGCATGGAAAGCTTATCGCTTGGAAAGCGTGTACTTTAGTTTACATTTGAGTATGGCGCATTAGATGTCGTCGCGACGTCTATGAAATAATTTAATTTCATTCTGTTGTTATTGTTGTTTTTTATTTATTTTCTGTTAAAGCTGCTATCAACAGTTTCAAGTTGAATGGATTGTGTGTTTGCATTGAAGTGTTTGTGTGTGCGGTAAAATTACCCAGCAAACAGTTTGAGAGATGATTTCATTTTTTTTTCATATCGAAAACGGAATGAATATTTTTCTCTTTAGAAGATCAACAAGTTTTGTTTTTAACTAAGAAATATTGGTTGGTCTTTAGGATCGTAAATATGTTGACCTACTTTTTGGGTTTTTACATCGGCGATTTTTAAAAGTTAAGTGAGCAATATTTTTTTGGTAAAAAAATATTAAAATTTTATTTTCGATATATTCCATACAAAATGTTTTGCTGGTGGTGTTTGAGTTTCTTGCAGTCCATAATTAATTACTTACAACCCGTAGTTGTTGTTAATTCTTCATTAACATTTAACCCTTCTTTAGCGGCAGCGTTAATAAATAACCAATTGACTTTTTGACAATAAGACGTTAAATAATTAGCTAACTAAGAGCATGAAAACAAAGAACTTGGAAAATTGGAATCTGATTTATAGACTAGACTATACACCAGCTAAAACTGGGAATGGAACAAGTCGGAGTCTGATTGGAATGTAACTTGAAAGCAAAAATTCCAATAACAAAAAGAAAATCTTATTAGCAGCGTTTTGAAGAGGGAATTTCAATTCAATTTGCTACAACACAAACAAGTGATTGACTTCTGCTTGCCTCCCCGCGTTTGATACCAATTCCAATTGGCATTGGCTGGCTGTTACATGTTTCAAGTGCATTTCAACATAACACTTGAAACTGATTCGTCAAGTGTCAGGGCTGCGTCCCCGACAAAGCCATAATTATGACGAGTTGTCATTGTATAAAAAGAACAAAACAAAAAACAAAAAACAGAAATCATAAAAAGAGTAGATGACTTCCTATAAATCGCATTTAATTCAACAATTACCACACACAACACATTGGAGATAAGATAACAATTTGCGACGTAATAGTTATTACTATTTTCAAGTTCTGGCATTCAACCATATATTTTTTTTGTTTCAACTAATATTCCTCTATTTACAATAACAAAAAAAAAAATTACGTCTGGGTAAACTAAACAGAAGAAAAAAAATAATAATAATTTATTATTATAAAAAAAAATATGTGTACACACTCCTCGAGCACACATACACACACATACCGCTCTATAAGTGTGTTTTCTTTTAATTGTGTAATTTATTTGCCAGACAGTGACAAACAAACGACAACAGTTTTACAAAAGTGCATTAATTTATTTAGTTTTTTTTCTTTTTGCTTTTATTAATTTTTGATTTCATTTTATTATTGTGGCACCATCGCCAGTGCCATTAGCTGGCTGTTTCGATTTCAAAAGTTATTTATATTAATTTTACTTTTTTCATATAATTTGCATAAATCTTTTTTTTCTGTTAACTATTTACTACAGGCGGAAGCATTCAAAGAGCGCTGCTTCGTTTCTTTGAATGAATTCCCGGCAACGGGTTTTTATCAAGAGTTTGGAGGACTTACTTGTGTTGCGGCGTGGCTGCAAATGGCACCTCAATACTGTGTGATGGCTTGCGTCTGTCTCCACCCATGTCGGCTAAACGGGCAAAATCTGTATCCTGATCGGCTAAACGTGCTGAACGTCTCGATTCAAGGAGACGCACCTCTTCCAAACGTTTTTTCAGTTCAATGGGTTCCTGCAATGGAAGAAAAAATGGAGAGAATAAGTAAATTAATATGTATGTAATTGTGAAAAATTAAATAAAGAAAATAAATAATTATGACGGATATGTATAATTTTTAGGAACCAGAACTTAACTCCAAATCTGCCAATTTCCCTTTCTCATAAGGAATTTCGAATTTGAAAAATAAAAGCATTCGCAAAAAATGTTTTAACGTTCCCGATTTAAAATCCATATCAAATCTTAAAACAATTGTCTTTCAATAAAATTGAAATAAAAGTAAATAAAGTCATAGATAGAATATGGAGGTGATCATAAAACCCAAAAAGTCTATTATATTTTATAGTATCTCTTTATTGTCTTCCGATTTTATTAATTAACCCATAGTATCGAAATTTCGAAACTTTACTATCGGAATTATCGAATGCGGTAATAAATCCTATTTTCCAGCTTTAAAATGATTACAAAATTGAGGTCGCCGTAAGCAGACAGTGTTCGACAAATGAGCATCTGCGGGCCCTTGGTGAGAGAACCCACAGAATTCTGTCTATTAAAGTTTTGAACCATGGCTGCTCAAAGCCATGAGTCCGCAAAAGAGAACATTTAAGAGAATTTTGATGTTCTGGTTTTCTTTGTAGTCCATAATTTATTTCAATTCTTTTTAAGCATGAAGTTTGTCCAAAAGTTTTAATTAAACTAATAATTAACAACAAAGAAATAAATAAGGTTTTAACACTGATTTATTGATGATATCAAAAGGCTAAGAGCGGGCGGTTGTTATTGAGTAGCATTGATTAAACTCACTATTATTCAGAGTGTGAGTGCATTTGTTCAATACTCTCTGAAATGCACGGATGCATATGATATTCATGGAGAGAAGAAAAATTGCTCTCACAATGATGGTTTCACTTCAGTAAGAGGCTCTCTCTCTCTCTTTCTATCAACAGCAAAATAAATTTGAGAGATGTTTGCGTATTTTTGTTACAGTGTGAGTCAGTGAGTAGTCGCTGATAGCTCGGAATTTTTGGCCCCAGCTGTGCCAGCTGTCTCTCTGGGACCAATATTTTAAGACCTTACAAACCCTATTTCATTTTCATAAATTATCCAGAAAATTACTTGAGTGTAAAGATCAAGAGAAATTATCTAAATTTAACAGAAATATTTTTGGTTCATGTTAATTTTGAAATCTTAGGGGATTTAATTCGCGATAGAATATAATTCAATATTTCATATCAAAAATTTCATAATATAAATTAGATCTCCGATTTGCTCGTTTTTACTCTCAAGAGAAACATACTCGTAAGCTGGAATGCTCGAAGAGTACATGTTTACACCTCACTTTTTTATTTTATGTAGAAGCGCTCACGAATTACTCCTGAATTATATGGATGGGATTCAAAATGTTCGAAATAGAGTAAAATTTTACTTCAAGAGTGAAATCGAGTGGTATATATATTTTTTTTTTTTTTTTTTTGATGATTTATGTCTTTGTGTGTGTAAGTAGTAGTAGCAAACACGATAGTGATGTGAACATGAATGAAATTTATTTTGTTGTACTGGAGGATTTGTTGAACCCACACACAGTAGAATTACTTTGTTGACAGAGCTTGCCGACAATACTCTTTAACGTATTTGTTTTTCTTTTCATTTGGAGCGGTGCTTAGAGAAAATGCATATACTTACAAAAAATCCAGCGGTATGACAAAATCAAAAAAAGTACTTGGCGAGAGTATAATCTGCTTCATTTAGAGCCCAGAATTTGAATAGAGAGCATTTCGGAGTTCTGATTTAAATAGTATCCCAGTAGCATATGCTTCATTCTTGTCCTTAACTTGGTTATGCTATAGAAAATCAATTGGGTCCATCGGTCTATACAGGGTCAAACAATTGGTAATTACTAAAAATAGGCAAACTTGCATGCAATTTGTTTACATGTTATAATTGGCAGAGAAGCAGTGTAAGGATGATATATCCTGCGAGTGCTAGGAATTTATGCTACCGTTCATTAAAAGAGCTCTCGGAAGCACTTTGAAATCTCCCTCTCACAATTATAGCTCTTTCCTCCTACTACAAATGTGTCGTGTACGTCCACGATTTTCAATTTTTGCACAACATTAAATTAAAAAAAATTGAAACAAAAAATATATAATCTCCCCACAAAGAATTTATGTTTCATTCGCAACAAAATATAAAAAAATTAACCCACACATACTTATTCCCAATCTCATTCAAAATATTTTTTTTATGATCTATAATGCATGACAACCGTAATAAATTAAATTTACGGCATTAAATCTTGTGATCTGCGGAGAAAGAAAATGCGTTCAACTTTTCAAGGCTAAATTTTGATTGCAATAAATTTCAGCGAATTATTTCAGGATGCTGCAGCTATGCAATTTTCCAAATTGATATAAAATATGAGCGTCCATCTTCCAACTCTAGAAAATTGGACCACCACTACTTCCCAATTCGATTCTTTGTGTACCACATAAACTGTACCATATCAGGTAACTTCCTTGCACTTAACAAATCAAGGCAACACCCATGCCATTAGCATTAAGCTCTCAGCTTTAACTTCGAACCAATAAACATACATAAATCTCTGGGTGGTTGTGTGTGTGTGAGTGCACAATTGCAACCCTGCAATTGCCTTAACGCCTCAATGTATGCCATTGATTTTGAATTTATTTCTATGTGAACGAGCATTGATGTCAAGCAAAACCTACTGTGACCCAGTTTTACTTTCATTTCGTTACACATATTTTTCCACTTCCACTTCTGTTTTTGTTTTTATTTTTGTGAGTTTGTGTGTTCGTTTGTTTGCTGACCTTGTTAAGGCTTTGCAAAGAACCTTAACTGAAATGGAATGGAAAGTATATGATTTTTGTTTAAAAAAAGAAAAATAACAAAACAACTACAATTAATACGGGTAGCATAAACATTTATGAGCTGAGTATTTGCAGGGTAAATATTTGTGTATGTATGTGTGTGTGTGCATGAGTGTGGGTTTTTTGTTTATTACTTTTTGTCAACTCTTTAGTTTGTTTGCCTTTAAATTCCGCTCATTGTGTGTGCTGATGGGCAAAGGGTTGCATAGAGGCGAGAGGCGCTTGCGGCCCACAATGGAGAAATGCATTTTGCTTTTGTTCCATCCATCTGTAGGTCTTGGAAATTTGTGCAAAGTGACCCAGTTTTTTGTCAGTTTTTGGTCAGCATATTTTGAAAAACCAGGTCACCTTCATGACCTTGTCATTTTCACAAGAACAAATGCATACATGAACGCACGCATACATACATACATACATTTTTAGTTATGCCTGTACTTATGTTGGTTGGGTCCTTGATGAGAATCGTTGCTGTTTGTGGGTTTGTAATTTTCAATATTTTATTTAAAAACAGAATGGAGTTTTTAAGGATATTAAAGATGGAGCAGCCAGCGATTTTAGAGGCAATTAGAAGTTAGTGTTTTTAAATGAAGAAGAAAATTGGTGTTAGATAAAATTAGAGCTCTGTACAGAGGGCTCGAAATTAGTCTTTAAGGGACTCAAGGGTCGGCTGGAATAGAGTCTTTGTGAACTAATAAAATGGATATTTTGTTGACGATTAGAATCAAGTCTTTACTGAAGGCCAAACAACAAGTCAGGTCCCTTTTCGACTTCTATAAGACAATTTTTTTGAATCTCTACAACCAGTCGTTATGGAAGACCTCTTTTCCATACTCTGATTAATAGATGTCTAAAGGAATATATTTTGGGTTTTCTTCAATTATTACATGTTTTGACATCCACATGATAATTTATTGACCTTTTACGAACAACTCCATTTTTTTAATAAAGGTTTCCCAAGAACAAATTTTAGGGCATGTGTAGGATCTTCAAATTTTAAAAATTTTATTCAAATAAAAAAATTTCTAAAATTTTGAAATTATATGAAATAAGTTTTTTTTCACTAAGTTCCTTACGTCTTCTAAAGTCAATATTTTTTTTTATTATTTTATCTTTTGAAAATCAAATCCAGTTCCTATTGATCGTTCTACATTATGTATTATCCGTTTCAATTATGATTAATTGAACATTTTGTTTATTTTGATAACAAATTTCAAATATGGGGGATTTCGAAATAGATTATTAATGTATTTGATAACCAAAACAATTTCAGATTGCTTTCGTCTTTTGTTTTATTAAAACAAAATTATGTGACAAATTGCTATTAATGAGAGATATGGTATCGCTCTAAATGTCAAGACTGGGTTCAATTCATACAAATTATTAATTCGCTGAAATTTTGCAAATATCAAAGCCAAGCCCAAAAAAACTCAAAGTATATAATAATTCAAATTAATTTGAATGAGAACGCTTTGGGATGTATGATGCAATTTCAAAATTTGTTGAATATAATAAATTAATTATAGAGAAAAAAAAAATAAAAACTTTAAACGGGGAATTTCCTTTTCATGATTTTTTTTGTAAAGTGGAAAATTTCTTTGAATTTATTTCACATTAAAGGGGATTTCCTTAAATGTTTATTTGTTGCAAAAACTCGCTTGCACACAAGGTTCAATGCCTAAACATTGAGATGTATGACGAAACGAATCAAAAACCGGTTTCTTATCTTAGAATGACGTTAGTCCACACAATTTTGAAAACGTGGGGAAAACACCATCAAAACATTGTTTGTCTTCAAAGCAAATGAAAGCTTCCTAGGTCAAAGCAGAGAAAATTAAAACTGAACTTTCCTTTAAATAATCACATTCTTCTTAAGAAAAACAATAACCCGTCATTGAAAAACAATAATTTCGAAATAAAAATCGATGCCATTATTCCACTCTGAATATGGGGGTATTTTTCTTTGTTGGGAAAACATGGATACATACCTACACACAAATATTGGTAATATTTAACTGATTGTTTCATTATTTTCTGATTATTAATTGATATCAGCAAATTTCTGCGCAAAAAACCTCAACACCTTATCGGTCAAAGAAAACGTTGAACCATTCAGAGCATTGGTCTATA